TATACTGATTTAAGTGTGCTACTAGACTGATAACTAGGTCTCACTATTTGTATGTTGAACGAGTTAGATGCAGCCACCACTTCTAACAATGTCTTTTTCTCTCAGTTCTCGCCTGTGAAACTCCCTTCCGCTTTCTTGCTTCCCTGTCAACTACAATCTTCAAGATATTAAATCCATCGTCAATCGCCATCTACTGTTTTCCTGGACTCTGTTCCTTTATTGCCATTTCTTGACTTTTCTTCACTAAAGTCTTCTCATTCTCTTTCTCTCCCTGTTACCCGTTGCATCGTATTGACATTATCGCCTTGCTCGTCAGGGTGAGAGTGAAAGGTTTTTAAAAAAAATATCATTACTTGTTTGCATGTGGATGTTCTTAGACTAACGGACCTATCAATGTCAGTACTCTAATGGTCGATAACTGAAATACAGATTTCGGAAGAGTTTTGGCCGAGTATCTTGCAACGCTTCATTGTGTTTGTATGTGTATGTATATGTAGAAAGTAGAAGACATAGAAGAGACACTTCAACGTAGACATTTGCCTGTGGGAAGACCTTGTGTCTGGAAGTTCTACTTCGAAAAACACTGTTGACGAATGTTATTAACGACTTTGCCAAAGGCAGAATTGAATCTTCGGTTGTTCGCTTCATGGCGAACATAAGCGTCCCCTCGGGGAAAAGATACTAAAAAGACTCTCACCTGCGCAGAATGTTGGCACATATACCTCTCAAAGGTTGTATTCATTAGTCACACGAGTTACCACAATAATACAATCTATCATTAGCCTGTCCAGCCTGATTTCGCTTGCAATTTATGCAGCAAAGTGTGCAGGTCAGCTATTGGACTTACCCAGGATTACAAGTCACTGCATGATACCAATGCGGCAAGGGGAGAAGATTTCCTGTAAAATATTTACTTAAAATCTAGGTTACTAGCTGCACTAATGAATCATCAGTGACTTCTTCAACAGCGGCAAGTATATCAACAGTAAGGTCACGCAATATAGAAAGAAAGAAAGAGAAAGAAACGAAGAAAGAATTAGAAAGAAATAAGAACAAGCAAGAAAGGAAGGAAGGAAGGAAGGAAGGAAGGAAGGAAGGAAGGAAGGAAGGAAGGAAGGAAGGAACAAACAAAGGAAGAAGTGAATTAAGAACTAGAAAGAAATGAAGAGAGAACTAAAAAGAAAGAACGAGCTACAAAGCGCTATGAAGAAAGAAAGAAAGAAAGAAAGAAAGAAAGAAAGAAAGAAAAAGAGAAAGAAAGAAAGAAAAAGAGAAAGAAAAAGAGAGAAAGAAATAGGGAGAAAAATGAAAAAGAAATAGAGAAAGAAAGAGAATGAGAAAGAAAGAAAGAATGAAAGAAATAGGAAGAGAAAGAAAGAGCTATAAAGGAAAAAGTACTAAAAGAAAGAATGACTCAAAGAAAGAAATGTAGAAAGAACTAGAAAAGTAGCAAAAAAGAAACAAGGAAAGAAAGAATGGAGTGAATTAAGAACTAGAAACAAATAAAGAGAGAACTAAAAAGAAAGAACGAGCTACAAAGCGCTGTGAAGAAAGAAAGAAAGAAAGAAAGACAGAAAGACAGAAAGGGAAACAGAATTACAAAGAAAGAAAGAAACGTAGAAAGAACCAGAAAAAGGTTTTGAAAGAAAAAGAAAAAGAAATAGCTTGAAAAAGAGAGAAATGCGAACAAAGAAAGAAAAGGAAGTAATAAAAAGAAAGGAAGGAAAGAAAGCAATAAAAAGAAAGGAAAGAAAGAAAGTAATAAAATGAAAGAAAAAGAAAGAATTCGCTAGGAAGAAAAAAAGGTCTAGAGAGAGAAAAATGAAGTTGGTAAAAACAAAAAGATAAAAAAGAAAAAGAAAGAAGGAAAAATAAAGGAAAGAAAAATGAAAGCAAAAAAGAAAGAAAAACGAAGGAATGAAAGAAAGAAAGACTTTTAGAGAGAAAAAAAAAGAAAGAGAGAAAGAAAGAACTAGTTACAAAGAGCTAAGATGAAAGAAGAAACTAGGGAGAGAAAAAGAAAGAAAGAGCTAGATAGAGAAAAAGAGAAAGAGCTATAAAGAAAGAAAAACCTGTATATTTATATCACTTTACGTGCGTTAGTGTGTGTGTGTGAGAGAGAGAGAGAGAGAGAGAGAGAGAGAGAAAAAGAGAGAGAGAGAGAGAGAAAGAAAGAAAGAAAGAAAAAAATCGTAAAGAGCAATCAAAGAGAACCGGAAGTGACGTAAACGGTCATAAATAAGATACCATTATTTTATCCGTCTTTGTTAGTTTAACAAATATATTCTGACTAATAATGACATAGTTTACGATAAGAATAATAACCGAATCATGTCGGACAAAAATGAAATCTAATGAACACACATACTGGAAGATCCTCTTGTTTGTCAGTGTAAAATTTTGTTTAGATATTTAGAGATATTAAAGAGGAAGTTAAATTCATTCGAAATTAATATAGAAACTCTTAGGAAGTATTTGAACTCTTTTGATCGATTTCCAGCTATTTGTATACTTGACAAAAAAAATAATGAAGAATATGAAAGAAAGGAAGGAAAGAAAGAAAGTAAGGAAGAAAAATGGAGAAAAGAAACATAAAAGAAAGAAAGAAAAATGAAGGCAAAAAATAAAAGATAAAGAAAGAAAAGAAAGAAAGGAAACAAGGAAAGAAGACAAGCAAAAGATAGAAAAATGGTGGCAAAAAAGAAAGAAAAACGAAGGAATAAAAGGTAACAGAAGGAATGAAAATAAAGGAAAGGAAGCAAGAAAAATGAAGGCAAAAAATAAAGCGAAATATAAAGAACGGAATGATAGGAAACAGAAGGAAGAAAAGAAAAAGAAAAAAGGAAGAAAAAAGAAAGTAAAAACAAAAAGATAAAAAAAAGAAAGAAAGAAAGGGAACAGAATGAAAAAAATAAAAAGAAAAAAGAAATGAAGAAAAATCAAAACAAAGGAAAAGAAAAAAAGAAAGAAAGGAACGAAGGAAAAATAAAAATAGAAAAATAAAGAAAACTGAAAGAAAGAAAAAGAAAGAAACATGATGGAATCAAAAGAAAATGAATAAAATTAAAAACAAAAAAAAACAAAACGAAAAAAGAAAAGGGAGAGAAACGATAAAGAAGGAAATTATAAAATAAAAGAAACAAAAAAAGCAAAAAGCAAAGAAAAACGAGAGAAAGAATAAAAGAAAACAATAAAAAAGAAAGATTAATGAAGTGAAGAAAAATGAAAGTAAAAAGCAAAAAATAAAAGCAAGAAAAAGAGAAAAGAAAAATAAAAGGAAGAAATGAAAAATGAAAGCAAAAGGCAAAGAAAACTGAAGCAAAGTTAGAAAGAAAAATGAAAAAGTAAAGGAAAGCAAAGGAAAAGAAAAACCGAGGGAAAGAAAAGAAGAAAAATATAAGAGAATAAAAAGAAGCATCAAAGGAAGAATGAAAAAAAAAACGAAAAAAATAAATGAAAATAAAAGAAAGTTATAAAAAAAAAGGACAGAAGGGTAGAATGTACACGAAAACAAAACAGGAAGTTAAACAAAAACTAACGCCACCCCCACCTAACCACACACACACACACACACTTTAATTAAAGGAAGAGAACTGTTGACGTGTTTACTGGACTGCAAAACACATTTAAACCTATTTAACTTTAATATTTTGGTTCTAACTTATGGGAATGAACCTTACAAAGAAAACCGGGTAGAAAGAAATGGAAGAATAATAAATGTTTATAAAATAAATTATCTAAAATGCATGCGATGGGGTAATGGATAGTGGCTCAAACTGAGGAGCCGGAGTGCCGGGTTCGAATTTCAATCGAGTTCATTACGTGCTAATCCCCTTGTGAAAGGCATAAATTCATCCCTCCTCCCCACAACTATGGGTAAAATAGAAACGGATTCTGGCAAACGGTGTAGGCGAATGACAACCCTGATTTCAAAACCAGACAGAGGTCTTCGGCTTCGGGAGATTTAAAATGCGGAGGAAGAATCAAAATCTGTTTCTTCGCACCCCCCCCCACTCGATGATTGAAATAGTCGAGAGTCGGATGATGATAAAGAAAGATAACAATTCGTGGACGACTTGAGAAGAATACTTTCCCGAAAAAAATATATATATATACACATTTGTAGTAAAATTTCCAACAATACATTTTATAGAAAAACACACTTTGCCAGTAGTTGAAGGCATACAATAGCGTTCAAAATGTATTTAATTAAAGCCATAGAATTGCGTTCAAAATATTTAGATTTCGACATTAAATAACCCATAGATGTATTGATATGCCACTAAAGAAAATCAACCGAACTATGTCAACCATACTCTTCGGTAAATGAATGTTGAATGTTTCCTGTATGGAAATGGCTATTCTCGCCATTTCTACTACCATTGACAGGGATAATATGCACGAACATGAATATTTCATGTAAAGGGAAGGGAAATTAATTATATAATCGAGATTCTGGCTTTCCACACATCCTTAAAGAAAAGTTTAGAAAGGAATCCACCATTTATACCAGAAAAAGCGATAACAGTATACTTGTGAATTCTGTTTTAAGAGATATACTTTATAAACTTCAATCGGCTGTTAAGCTAATAATGGAGTGTCGCTATCATATAGGAGATTAAATATTACGTAGCAATTCAAAATTCTTTTCTTTGTTTGTAACGGAAATTTTCTCTCAATTGATACTTTGCTTAGTTTCTGGAAGACATATTTCCTTATTTCTAAGCATATTCAGAATTCTTTCACACGTCCCTGAAGAGATACGGAACATAGAAGATTAGTTTGCTTGTTTTTTTTTTTTGTTGTTTTTTTTTATTCTTTGTTTGTTTGTTTTTTGTTTGTTTGTTTTTTTGTTTGTTTTTTTTTGGGGGGGGGGTATTTTGAGGCATCTTTTTCTATACTAGTATGAACCTGTCAGTTTCAAAAGTGCAAGTTTATTAGTGTCGTTGCAGCAATTATTAGAGTTCACAAGCCAGGATACTAGGAGGGTGACTGAAGTTGATGCAAGTATACACAACTCCCCGACGTCTTGCTGCGCGTAAAGTTTCATTCAACTCATCCACTACTTCAGAAATTATAGCTCTCAACTTCGCTTGGGCTTCGTACTGTCGGTTAAGGACACCGAATAATCACATCTGTTATGATAGTTGGCAAGAAGCCCGTCTTGTCCCACTATGCCGACTATTTGTGTAGCTGCGTTATTTACAAATAACGCAGCTTGTATTATTTTGTTTTTGTTTTTTTCTGAAATTGGTTATGGTAAATGAACTATAACGACGTGAATTAACAGAGTTGTTGCCGATTTGGAATCAACGAGCCATGATCCGAAATTACAGTAACCGCTAAAGCTGCTTTCGTTATAATGCTTTTCAAAATAAAAACATGAATAAATTATTAGCTCGTGACCATTGTATACGGGTAGTGTGACTGCTACGGGCGCGGCCTGTGGAAATGGCGAGTCACTTTCAATTCTGACTTGATCATTTGAGTTCAATTTCCTACACATGCTGTTAGTACAAAAAGCATAAAACTATATCCTCTCCCACCTTCAGCGATAGAATAAATAGCAAGGTAAACTGTTCTCTCTAGCCTTTCTAACAAGCAAAACGGACAGAAAGATCTGATTTCAGAAGCGTAGAGTGCATCGTGAAATCATTCCACTGTCTTTCCCAAATGACGTGCCGTCTCACCAGACAAGTTTTACAGAGAGAATTAGAAGTCATACCAGGAGTCATCATTGCGTGGCCATAATCGCAACAAAATAGGTTATTCAGATAGCTCAATGTTGATAGCAGATACAGAATGAAACTACAGGAATGCCTACAGTTGGTAGTAAAGGAAAGCTAGAAGAAAGGACTAAGCATCAATTGTACAAAGACAGAATGCATGATCGTTTGCAAAAGGAGATTCCCAAGATGCGAACCACGAACTGGAGACATAAAAAAACAAACAAGTACGAAAATTTAAATAACTATGAAGTGTACTAAGAGAGGCCGGTGACACACCGAAAAATTCTAATATATAATCTAAATGTGTCTACGTGTGACACCCCAATCCAAAAATTCTAATATCTAATCTAAATGTGTCTACATGTGATACCCTAATCCAAAAATTCTAATATCTAATCTGTGTCTACATGTGAAACGATAATCCAGAAAGTTCTAATATCTAATTTAAATGTGTCTACATGTGGCACCGTAATCCTAAAGGTTCTAATATCTAATCTAAATGTGTCGACCTGTGGCATCATAATCCAAAACGTTCTAATATCTAATCTAAATGTGTCTACATGTGGCAAACTAATATGAAATATTCTAATATCTAAAAAACGAAGTTAAGTATTAAGAAACAGGAAAACTTCGCTTGAAATAAACACAAGTTTGCTGAACTGTTTGGGTTAGTTATTCTGCCATCCATTTCCACACGTCTGTTAAGTAGGTAATTTGCTGTTTACCTTTGCTTCTCTTGCTTTTATTATGCCACATGTGTGTTAAATCCCATAAGTCTTCTTTTCTCATTATATATAGAAAAATTCTGGCTACGAGATGAAATGAAAAGAAACACTCGGCAAAAATAAATAATGACTGCTTCATCTAATAAGCATGGAAGAGTATATAACAATGGATATAAAAAGAAGCAAATTTAAAAGAAATATACGTCAAAAATTGACAATGCTCGAAGATGCTTCATCTAATAAAAATTCAATATTATGATTTATTTCTATTTTTCACCTCAATCAAGGCAATAAAGCCACTATGACACAAGAGATTACTGAGTTTAAAGAATATGAGGAATAAAGTACTATTAAGGAAACAGAATAAAAGAACATAAATTGACAGAAGATAGCGATTGATATTGCATTTAAGTATTTGAATATCGAAGTTGACTGGAAAGCCGCAAGAGAGTCTTATAATCGAGAAGTATGATAGAATAAACTGTTACTATGGAACCTACTGTTATATCTATCCATTTCGACTGTAAAATGATGAGACCTATCCGCCAATCTAGTACTGCGCTTAAATTCATAATGTCTACATAGCGTAGAGGAAAGCTGATCAGAACCATTACCTTGAAAATATTCTTAGAAAAGACACTGAAAAGCTACATTACGACAGTGGGTATATTACTGAAGTCGAGATGCCAGGTGAGGACAAGTAACATTGCATATTCTTCTTTGGATTTTATCAAGAATCTCTAAATATACAGCAGGAGCACCAGACCAGAGGAGGTAGGAATATTCTAAAACAAAGACGAATAGTGCACTTATAAATATGTAAAGTAGATTCTGGTGAGAATAATTGTTTAACACGACAGAGGGAAACAACTTTCCTAGCTGCAAACCAAGGTTCAATATAATCTTTCCATTTCATGTCAGCGGAAAACGTGGAGGTTAGCATCAGCCATACTGATGGAAGGAAAGAGTATTAATACTATTACTAGATGAAAAACAAGTAAAATTAAGATGAAAATTAAGTAAAAATGAATCATATTTGACAATGCTCCAACTGTTAATATTTTAATATATTTCTCGTCGTAGTTTAAATCTACTGAAATTAAGTTGAAAGAAATACTAGTTAAAATTAATAATTAAGTTGAAAGAAATATTAGTAAAAATTAATAATTAAGTTGAAAGAAATATTAGTAAAAATTAATAATTAAGTTGAAAGAAATACTAGTTAAAATTAATGAGTTGCTACAATGCTTCATTTAATTCATCACAATAATACTACAAAAAGCAACTGAAATTACGATGAAAAAGAAACTCCTCAAAAATGAACAATGGTTGACAATGCTTCATCGAATAATGTCTTAAAATTTCTCTAATAAAGGGTGTTCCAATAACTTAGGAGAAGAAGAAGAAGAAGAAGAAGAAGAAGAAGAAGAAGAAGAAGGAGAAGGAGAAGGAGGAGAAGGAATAAGCGTAGCAAAAGAAGAAAAATGAATAAGTGTAGAAGAAGAAGGGATGGGTGTCGAAGAAGAAGGAGGAATATGAGTAGTTGAGGAAAGAGAGTAGAAGAGGAATGACGTCGAAAACGGTTAGAATATAAAGAGTAAAAGGAGGAGGAGGAGCAGAAGTAAAAGTAGTAGGAATAGTAATAGTAGAAGAAAAGTGGTAATTAGAGTAGTAGTAGTAGTAGAAGAAGAAGGTGTAGTAATAGAAGAAAGGGTAGAAGAAATAGAAGTTATAGAAGAAGAAGAAGAAGAAGAAGAAGAAGAAGAAGAAGAAGAAGCAGTAAAAGTGATGTTTTTCGTTAAAACGTTTGAAATGGAAACCAAATACACGGCCCCAGAAGAAAAAATGAAGGTGTCGGTCCACTGGGATTCGCCAGTGTTTATAAAATTAAGTGAGTAGCAAAAACAGAGGAAGGAGGCGGGCCAGGTTGTTGGCGAAAATTTTGATTTGCGAAAGTGACATAA